ACATTTTTCGATTATTGTTCGAGGTACTTTTATGATCGCGGGAAGGCGAAGGCGTGATCGTAGAGCTGCTCATATTTCATGATATTATAATTTGATTCTGGGATACTCTGACATTATAGTATTGTGAAAACAAGTTTTGTAATAATCATTGGTTTTAAAATGTTTTAAAAAAACTTTAAATTTGGCGTAATTTTTACGGATGTTACATCCTCCGTGACCTGCAAAGTACTCTAAATATAAAAATCCAAATCCACGAAAGGGAAATCAATAACTACAAAAAAGATAAGAAGATTAAAGTGAGATGAGTACCACATCAACCGGTGATTTGGTGAGAAAATGTGAAGCTTTAGATCCAAAATTGGATCAATTTCGCCCAAATGGGTTATCTTTCTTTTGCCCAATGACCAGTCTTATCTTTTAGATTTTGTTTTCCTCCCCATTTTTCTTTCAATGTTACAATTGGCATTTAATTTGCGACAACAAGCAGAAGAAGCCGATCAAGACGGTGGGTGGGAGGTTGGAGGGACAAATAACTAGAGAGAGAGAGTGAGACAGAGAGAGAGAGAGAGATAGAGAGAGAGAGAGAAAAGGAGATTGAATAGCAAAGATAGTGGAAACAAAGGATTATAACCGTCTATAGAACCAACATGTAAAATCTCAATTTTATCTTTCCTTGTAAACTTTTAAATTACCATAACATAACAATTACTTTTATGCTAAAATTACACTTGTCTTCTCCTTATTGTTTATTTTCATTTTCACAAATTACTTGCATTTTTATATGAACCTATATATATATATATATATATATATATATATATATATATATATATATATATATATATATATATATATATATATATAGAGAGAGAGAGAGAGAGAGAGGTAAATTCAATTGAGAAAAAATAAAAGGTTGAGAATGGACGAATCAATCTCAGCCAATCATTTTATATATGTAAAATACATTTAGATTAAGTCATTGACATATGGTGTTCTTCTGGATTGTCCACCCATTCTTCATCAACATCATCTGATATGCATTTATCTCGATCGTTCCTTTATTCTTCATCAAGATCATTCATTCTTTATCAACATCATATGTTCTACTACTTTTTTGTCAACAACGTCACCTATTCTTCATAAACAAAAACATCGACACATCATAAAAACATCAATTCTTCATCAAAATTCTTCATTTATTCAACAAAACATTGTGATTCATCATCAAATAAAATTAATCGTGCTACTAAGTGTAAGCCGTGATTTACTCTTGTCCAATTTTTTTGATGTCATTTAGCGATCACTGGTCTTTAAAAGTTATCGAAACTTCATCAATCGAACATTCATGAATATCAAACAATAGATAGCAATCGAAACTTCATCAACATAACCATAAATTTTAATAATTTTAAAACAAATCATTTTTCATGTTTGAAAAACATCGATTTTCATACATTTTTTAACAATTTGTGATCTCAATGTACTCATTATTGATCGATTTTCATAGAAGTTGATTTGGGTTGTATGTATTGGCTTCAATAGTTAAATTTTTAACATAATTTTATAAGATAATTTATTTGCACGCCGATTATTCGATTAAATATATAAACTAAATATATCCTGTAATATTCACAACTGAATATGTTTTTACATGAGAATCAATGTATGTCTTTTAGAAACGCAATGTACGTATGTAATTCATGTGTGAATTACGTATAAAACTTATATTCACATGTGAATATATGTAATATTTACAAATGAATACATGTTATATTAATAAATGATAACACATTTCTTTTGGAAAATTAAAAAAAAAAAAATTAAAATACTTCATTATGAGGTATAAAGCTAGTTTGTAATTCATATTTGAATAACATATAGAAACTATATCCAAATGTGAATATATGTAATATTCACAAATAAATATATATGTAATAATCAAATTGGAATATATATATATATATATATATATATATATATATATATATATATATATATATATATATATATATATATATATATTATTCACAAGTGAATAAAACTGTTTATAAAACCAAGAAGTAAAAAATATATAAAATTGATGATTAAAAAATATACGACTAGAATGTATTTATTCACATATACCTATGCTTTTTATGGTAAATTTAAATTATCATATAAGCATATTTTTTTATTCCAGTTATATTCGTTTATGAATCAATGATAGATACAAAATTATAAAAATAAAAAAACGTTATTTTAAGGCCTTATACAGTTCTGAATAGCCTAAAACATCGTACGTCACGGTGGAGCTATGAGTTTTGTAAATCACACCATTTTACATAAAATATATGAATTTTGTCCAATTCCGATACTAAACTTCATTGCGGCAAAGTTTTTTGATGATGTTACTAAATTTTCATTCCTGCTAATGATGACATCATCATGACATGTTATTCTATTCATATATGAATAAACTTTAAAAATCATTACGATATATTTACTGATAATGTTAGTAACTTCAAGCTCACTACTAAAAATATCATTATAATATATTATTTTTATTTGTGTGAATAAACTATATGTGTTGATTTATTCATTTGTGAATATAAGATTTATATCTTTAAATAAATAATGCACTATAAGAATTGTTGTGTGAATAGCTTTTTTTTATATATTGTAACAGTATTATTTTACATATTAATTTTACATTATACTGATACAAACAACATTGTATTGGTTAATAATATCATTTACAATTGAATTTAACACAATCAAAATGAAGAATGTATTACATTGTATAACATTTACCCATGAGTATAAAAATATATTATCTTCATCAATGATATCTTCTCATTTATGTCAACCAATTGTCAACTATTGAGATATAATACAATCATTGATTGAAATGTTATTCATCAATTGATTTATAACCATTCCTAACAAACATGTGAATACATTTAAAAATGTTAATAAAAATATATTGTTAGTTCATCATAACATCGATTTATCACATTCTAATTATCACATGATATATTTATACGTGAACGTATAATCACATGTGAATATTATATAATATATTTACTTGTGAAGATTACAAATTATAGTCATATTTAAATATTACATAATATATATTCATTCATGAATATTACATACTGTATTATCATATCAATATTATATAGTATATATTTATATTTAAATATTAGACGATACATTTAGTTGAGAATATTATATAGTTTATTCACTTGTAAATATTAGATATTGTATTCACTGATGAATATTATATGGTATATTCATATGTGAATATTACACAATATATTCACATATGAATATTACAAGGTGTATTCAGAAATAAATATATTTTTTTGTATGTTATTCACATATAAATGACATATAGACTTGCATTTGTTTTGTGTTTTAACAATAATAAACTAAATCAGGTGTGAACCCATATTAATATATGAATGTAACGTAATAATTTAGTTCATGTATTTAATCAAACAATTGAAATGCATACATGTTAACTTTTTAAAAATGTTAAAAACATGATACGTTGACTATTTAAATTTTACAAAATATTAGACTGCTAGAGAATTATATGAATTTTTTCAAAAAATAAATGATTTGATGTTTTTCTAACCTTAATTTTGAGGTTTTGTTTGATTATTGATGTTGAATGAATGATGTGAGGTGGATCTATTGTTGATTATCGATGATGTTGATCTAATGACGTTGAAAGTATAATCAATCGCATATGTTGAAGATATGCTCATATTTACGTAGAATTGAATGTTGGATTGATAGAACCAAAAACAAACTGTTGTTGTCTACTATTGAATGATGTTGATAAACCTGTTATTGATGAAGATAGATTATTGATTAATGCTGGACGATGTTGATTGACGGTTTAATTGAAGAAATCTGGATAGTTTTTGAAGGTTGGAGAAATTTGGATGATAAACTATGGATTAAGAATGAATTTGAACTGTTATTTAATTATACATAGTTACTTATCTGCGATTGAATGTTATTTTATCATATTTACAACTTTACCACCGTATCTTTTATACTTTTATTTCTCTCTCTCTCTCTCTCTATATATATATATATATATATATATATATATATATATATATATATATATATATATATATATATATATATATATATATATAAAAGAAACGTTCGTAGCAGAACTTCCAAGTAATTTTCTTTGTTACAAAAAGTGTCCTTGGATTCTCTCGTATTCATATTTTTGTGTTTACCAATTACTTTCGGCATTAGAAAGGGTTTTGATTTTTTTGTTTTTCAATATTATAATTTTAAATCTATATACGTATTTGATTTTGATTTTGAAACTTCGGCGTTCAAGAAGATGAAAAATTAGTATAAAGATAGTGTGAAAATATAGTTTTACCCCTTTGATAATGGTCATGTAGTCATGTACAACTTAACAAATAGTTTGAAAGAAACCACTTACATAAATGATTATTTTCTATGACTGAAATAGTATAGCGACTATTTTGGGTGTTTTAATTAATGATGCAAAGTGTATGGGCCTGCATATAGTCTAAGGATTAAACTTTATAGTTTACTCTATATCTTTATTAAAGACTAATTTTCTTTTACTGAAGTAGTATAGCGACTATTTTGGGTGTTTTATATTGAGGATGTAAATGTATGGGCTTGCATATAATCTAAACGACAAAACTTTATAGTTTACTCTATATCTTTATTAAAGACTAATTTTCTTTTACTGAAGTAGTATAGCGACTATTTTGGGTGTTTTATATTGAGGATGTAAATGTATGGGCTTGCATATAGTCTAAACGACAAAACTTTATAGTTTACTCTATATCTTTATTAAACACACCGATTTATGGCTGTATGGTACTCAATTATTGGTATATAAAGAAAACAAAAGATTTGTATCAATTATCATTAACTTTCCCCTCGTATTCTCTTTACACTTCCTGATGGCTTTTGAAGTTTTGCAAAATTTCTTATACATGCAATCATGT